TGATGGGAGATCATGTGCTCTAGCACTCCGGAGACAAAGCCCCTGGAAGAAAGGCTTCCCCCTCTTCCCGCCCTTTATCCATAAAACACCCAGAGTTCTGCTACTTCCTGCCTTTGCTGATGAGAACCATTCATTTCTGGAACCAATCAGTTATTTCTGCTTTAATGAACTAATGTCTTTTCTTGCTGAGAAAACTCCAGTCAGGCCCTTAGCTTTATCTCCTTGTTCTTAGAAAGAGATCCTGTGCCTCTGGGAGCCCAGATCTCTTTTAGTGGGGCAGACTTGGGCTTCCTTTTGTGGGCAAAAGGGCCAAGGTAGCTATGCTGAGGGGCTGAGAAAGGTCTAACGAGGGATGGAGTCAGAGGGGGGAGTGAGGACCGTCATGATGCTGCCCTTAGCTCCCTCAGGGGGAACCCTCTACTTGGCCCCTGAGAATCTCTGCATGATCTGGATTTGCTCTCCTCCTTTCTGTAGGTTTGGGGATGAGTTTGTAGATTTTTGGCTTTGCTGTACTCAAGAAATCTGCCTACCCACAGAATTTCTTCTGCCCCAGGGCTATTTTTTTTTTTTAAACTTGAACAAAGCAACGAGATCAGAATGAATCATACACACATGTGTAAATGTGTGTGTGTGTTAAGATGAGCTTGTGTGTGATCGCAGGGATTCCACGTGTGACCCTTCCTGATTCCCTGTTGCAGTCAGCAGGAACCGATGGCTGCATGGCTGTGGGGGCGTTGGAGCCAGGGGCGGGAGACCAGAGGAAGGAGGGAAGGGTGCTCTGGCTCCTGGAGCAGGGCATTGGTGGGGGCTGAGGGGCCCGGGCCTGCCAGGAAGTGTGTTCTGTCCTGACAGACCGGGCTCCTCAAACACCACCTCGAGGAGACAGCAGCAGGTTGGGGGTGGTATGCATCCGGGAGTAGGTGGAACTGTCTGGGTTTCTCCCTCTCCTGCCTTCCAGGGTCCAGTCTTGGGGCTCAACGGTCACAGGAAGCTACTTTTCTTTTTTGCATTTTTAAATTTTATTGGTACATTTTAGATATACACTATAATATCATTATAATATCTATTATATCTTGGAGCATTTGTACCTGTAAGTGATATATCTTGCTGCTTCTTTTTTCTCATTTCCCTCCTTTCAATCCTTTTCCCCTTTCTTATTCACAGAAGTTTTGTTTCCATTTTTTCTATCCTTTTTTTTCTTGTCCTTCCTTCTTTTCCTCTTCCCCACTCCCTTGTTTCTCTTCTCATTTGGATGTTTTCTTCCCATTTCCCAATATCTATTATACATTTTGGTCCTTATTTACACTTTCAGTTTCTCATATCAGAGAAACAATGTGGCATTTAAACATGTGTGTCTGATTTATTTCACTTAAGAGTATGATCTCTAGGTACATCCATTTAGCTAGAAACATCTCAAGTTTATCCTTTATGGCAGAGTAGTGCTCCACTGTATAAAAAAAACCCACATCTTTTTTATCCATTCACCACTTGATGGGCATTTGGGCTGTTTCCAAGATTTGGTTATTACAAACTGTGTTGCTCTAAACATAGGTGTGCATATATTGCTGTGGTGTGATACTTTTCTTTCTGGAAGATAGGAAGAAGGGAAATGTCTGGGTCAAACGGAACCTCTAGTTTTAGTTTTTGAGGAATCTCCACACTGATTTCCACAGTGGTAGCACCAGTCTACGCTCCCACCAACAGTGGGGAAGGCTTTCTTTTGGGGAAACTACTTCAGAGGTACATCCTTCCCCCTAGAACCTGTAAGTGGGGGACACCCTACTCCTCTGAGCACCACTGTGGAACTCACCCGTCCTGAGTTTGGGAGATGACCTGTGCCCTCCACCCCATTCTAGAGAGAGCCCTGTGTGGACCAGGCCAGATGCATGGCTCCCTGTTGCAGCCAGGCCTTCCTTGTACAGCAGAGCCTGTGTCTCCTGAGATAATGAGCCCGTGAACCAGAGATACCCAGCTGGACTGGGCTGAGCCACGCTCCCCAGAATTCCTTTGCTTGCATGTTTTCTATGAAGGTGAGCCTGGGGACACTCAGTGGTGGGCCCGGGGGGTGGAAGGGAATCAGAGCCACACTACGCAGCCCACACATGTGGCAGCTCTGCCAACTCACCCTGATGGTGTGCAGCAACAGCTGGGTCTGCAATTGTGTCATCTCCTCTCATGCCCAAGTCAGTGTGTTCAGCCCCAAAATGAAGGATTCTGTCTTCTTCTTCCTCTTTCTCCTCTTCCCTCACTTCCCAGGACTGGGGACTGAATGCAGGACCTTCATACTGAGCTACCTTCCTGCCAGTCCATCCCTATTTTATATTTTTTGCTTTGAGACAAGATCCCACTAAATCACCAGGCTGCACAGGTTGGGCTCAAACCTGTGATCTTCCTGCCTCAGCTTCACAGAGAGCTGGGATTATAGGCATGTACCACCACACCCAGCTAAGAATCCTGGTTCCTTCCCCAACTATCTCCTTGGGGAACTTAAAGCTTCAGCAACAGACCTGAAGACAGCAGCGTTATTGAGTCTGCCTAAGGTCAGATTCCCTGTAACAAAGCCATATATAATTAGACACACCCGTGCCTATACATGTACCTCCACCTAATCTTTACCTATATATTTATATCTGTACAGACTGCACATGCCTAATGTGAAAATCCACAATATAAAATGCTACAAAATCCAAAATCTTTTGAGTGCCCCCACAACACCACAGTGGAAAATTCCATACCTGCCCCCATGTGATGAAACAGTACCCCAAATGATTAAAAATACCATGTAAAATTATCTTCAGGCTATGTGACAAGGTTTAGCTGAAATACAAGTGAATTTTGTGCTTAGAATTAGGTTCCATACCCAAGATATCTCACAATAGATATGCAAATATTCCAATATCCAAAGCACTTCTGGTCCCAGGCATTTTGGACTCCGGAGACGACCTAGGTATCGGTCCGCCGAGTGCTGCCAAGTGCAGGGGGTGGTGCGTATTGTCTCACACTGTGGGAATGTATGGAGCTCAGGTGCTTGACAGTGGCAGCTGGAAAGAGGCTGTTCTCCCTGAGTGTGGGCCGAGGGTAGAGTCCTGTGGGTTGGAATTGCTGGGTTCCGCCCTGAGTCTGAGTCTCAGGACTGGGTGGAGGCTGAGAATCTGCAAGTCTGATAGTCCCCAGGTGACTGACGCTGCTTCTGCTCTTCCGTGGACCCTGCAGTAGGTGTTATATACCAGAGTGGTTGTGTGTGTGTGTGTGTGTTTGTGTGTGTGTGTGTGTGTGAGTGTTACTGCCGCCTGCCCAGGACCCCATGGGCACTTTCAGCAGTGCTTTCTCTGCAGACACCAGAAATCCTGGTGGTCTGAGGGCCCTGCAGGATCTCAAGCTGTGGAAGAAACAAAATCCTTATGTTTTTCAGCCTGACTCAGAGGGGGAAAAGCACAGCCTACCTCGGGGCAGGCAGACCCAGTAAATTCTAATCCTTTTGTCCTTTAGGTAGTGTCCCTGGACAAATGTCCTGCTCCATGATGCAGGGATGATGCTGGCTTTAGGGTTTTCATGAAGCTGATGTATGTGCAGCCCATGTTCAACACGGCTTCTCAGGTTTAGCTATTACGAGTGGAGTTGCTGTAAACACGGGTATGCACCTATCACTGTAACGTGATGTCTTTCACTCTTTCAGGAAGGCACCTAGAAGGGGAAAAATTGGGTCAAATGGAATTTCTAGTTTTAGTGTTCTGAGGAACGTTTACAACTTCCATAGTGGTTATGCTATACATTCTCAATAGCTCTCCCCGCACAGCCTCACCAGCTTTCGTTATTTGATTTCTTAATGATAGCCACTCTTTCTGGAGTAAGATTGACTCTCAGTGATGAATGGATAAGGAAAATATGGTATTTACATACAATGGAGTACTACTCTGCCATAAAGAAGAATAAACTTGAGTCATTGGTAGGAATGTACCTTGAGACCACAATGTTAAATGAAAGAAATCAGACACACAAGCTTAAATATTGCATGGTCTATCTTACATAAAAACCCCAAATATAAATAAAGTGCAAAATAAAGGGTAGTAATAGGAAATAGGGAAATAGATCTTTTGCAAAAGGAGACAAAGAGATGGAGGGAAGGAAGAGAGAGAAGGGAGGGGCTGACTTGGTGGGCTATGTACACATACCAACTTCTCATGGAAAATTTAATCATACATACTGCAAACATGTACTCATAAAAAAATACTTGAAAAAACCCCACTACTTCCCTGTAGGTTAGACTTTTCCATTGATAACTTAGAAATGTGCAGATGAATTTTCAGACCTAAGTTCAAAACTTTACATTTACCCCTATCTGGTTTAGTTTTGCTGGTTTTCATCATCACTGCAGTCTGCCACAGCGCTCCTGAGCCTGGAGGCTGTCCTCTGGCACATCAGTGGCCCCTCACTAGTTCCCAGGTAACCATCTGGCTGCTCCCGCACTGCCATTCCTGACACTGGGCTGCACGTTTTAGTGTGCACAAGGGGTAAGGAAGCAGCGCTGCTCCTGAGGCCAGGGAAGACTTTGACTCATCACCTTTGCAGCTCCAGCTTGAGAAGCAGCTCTCATAGTTTTTACTGAGTCTTTATACTCTAATTGAAAACACCATCTTTAGGGGATGGTGCTGATTTATGAAGTGATAGAGGAAAGAAGGGGTCCCCTGTACTTACCCTGTTGGTCTTTCACCCACCCAAACACTTACTATGTTTAAGTCCAAAGTTGAGGAGACACCAGACCTAACTTATGGTCTCTAATTCCAGAGAGGCCTAAGTGGGGAGCTTTGAGAGGGGGTGCTTGTGGGGCTCTCACCTCACTGACTCTTTTATTCTTTTTGAAACAGGATCTCACTATATAGCCCAGGCTGGCCTCAAACTCATGGTGATCCTCCTGCCTCAGCCTCCCACGTGCTGGGATTACCACCACATCTGGCTCCTCAGTGACTCTTTTCTCCATGAACAAACTATCAAATAGAGAATTTCAGAACAAACTTCTCAAACCATTTAATGTCCTCGAGGCTGGGATAGACTGAGGCCTGAGGGGAACATGGCAAGATGTTTGCCAATAGAAAGCCAGACAAGGTTCTCTGCCGCTTGCCTGGGCTGGCTGGACTGCAAGGTCACCAGGAACTTTCTCTCTTGCAATGTCTGTTCAGAACATTCTGGAAGCATGCTGCATCCTTATACCCGGACTTGTGGTTGTTCCTTCTTTTTTACTTCTGCCCAGATGTCTGATAGGTCTTGGATAAACTGCTGGATCTGACAAGACAGAGACCAGAGTTAACCCTAATTGGTCAGAGGCTTCCCCATTCCAAGATGGATCTCAGTTTACTGCTTTTGTGAGACTGACTTCTTGAGTCGGCCACATTGCCTCATTTGAGTTTTTCTAGGTGACAGGCAGCATCTGGTTTCGCAGATTTAAAACCATACATAGAAATGGGTTGGGACCTCCTAGAGGCAGACACAGCAAGAGGATGAAGAACAGGCTGCAGTCCAACAGAAAGCGCAGGGAAGAAAGAAGATTACAGATGGGACGCTGAATAAAGCATTTAGCAGGCAGGGTCCCTGTGGGTAGGGGCGCCCTCAAGGTGAACTTGGAACCCAGACCTGACTCATGCTCATCATGACAATCTTGGATCTATGCATTAACTTCTGTTTGGAAGAGCTTCCAGTAGGCATGACACAGTGCTGCCTTAGGAGGAGCCCAGCTGAGCTCCTGATGTAGCAGCTCTGGGGAAATCACTTCATCTTTTTGGGACTCAGTTTCCTGCTCCTCCTCCTCTTCCTCCTCCTCTTCCTCTTCTTCCTCTTCCTTCTTTTTTTGATGCTGGGGATTGAAGGCAGGCTCCACCACTGAGCTACACCTCCAGGTCAGTTTCTTTATCTTTATAAAGGGAGAGGTGGGTTGGGGTGTAGCTCAGTGACAGCATGTGCTTAGCACGCATGAGGGCCTGGCTCCAATCCCCAGCACATCATAACTAACTAAAGAAATAAATAATTTTTTTTAAAAAATTAAAGGGAAGGTTGGCCCTGATAGCATCTTGAGTTCAGTTCTAAAACTTCTTTTTCAACTGTCTTGGAAGAGAGCACTACATAGACTTTGTCTCAATCTCTCAACATCCCTGTCAGCTACAGATATAGTTACTATTACTGATAGAGCTCCTATTTTGCAAATGAAGAAACACAGAGCCAACGAATTAAAGCAACTTTCCAAACATTACAGAGAAGACAAATTCAGTATTTCCCACAATGTGCTCTTAGAATAAGTGGCCACGGAGTCCAGAAAGGGCTCGATGGCCAAGCCAAGTGAAGCTTCAGAAATATCATCTGTCTGAGGGTCTCAAAGTGCAGAGCTGTAATAAAGACTTCACCAAATCCTGTACTTTTAAAATCTGCACTTTAAATTACATTTTTCCCAGATGTATTAGTCTGTGGGGGCCTTTCATTCCCCATAGGAAAGAGTATCTTGAAATTGTAGGATTTGCTAAGCAGTTTGGAAAATACCACTGTGGGTAGTTGATTTAAGGGTAGTTCTAGACCCTTCACATTGGAATTGGATTGTCTTGGCCTCTTCCTGAGTTGCACCATGTACCACGTTCCTAGTCCTGTGTAAGATCTGCTTTTGGAGCTGTGCCTATGAGCTGTAGTTGAGTTCACTGAGTGTCTCTAAAGTCTCACCGAGAAATTCTAAATTTCAGTTAGAACTAAGTGTCTGGAAAAGGTATGTTCCCTCTGAGGAAACCTTGTATTTTCTTATTTTGGTACAAAAAGTATATGTTCCTTTATATCTAGTTATCAGGAAGTTCAGAGTCACTAGTATTCCTGCTGTAGGTCCTGATAATCTAAGAAGCCACTATAGTTGCATTTTTCTCTCAAGCCTTGACCTCTGATTTTAACTTATCTGTCTCCAGAGTCCTACTTTTTTTTCCAGGCTACTTGGTTATGTGCATTCCTATCAGTAGGCCAATATCCTATGGGAATGAAGTGAGATATTTTAAGATCACTCTTGGGCAATACAGAGTACTCCTGTAAAGACAAATCAAGGCTGAGGCTTTCTGAATCCAAATTCAGAAAATCATCAAGCATTCAGAAAGCTCACAATCTGGAGTGGACAGATTGGAAGCTCTGATCTGACTGGGGACAGGAAGCTGCAGGTTATCACCTCCTTGAGCACTGTTCTTCGAACCAGTGAAAGGAAGTGGGCTGCAACCCTACTATAGGGGATGGGGTGAACACAGTCAAAACTCTTTTCACAATAATACTAAGACTTCATTAAGCTGTGTGTGTGTGTGTGTGTGTGTGTGTGAGTGTGTGTAGTATTGGGAACTGAACCCAGGGTCTTTGTGCTGAGCTACATGCCTAGCCCTTTTTACAATTTTTAAATTTTTGGGACAGTGTCTCTCTAAGTTGACTGTCGGGGGGAGGGGGCTTGCACTTGTGATCCTCCTGCCTTGGCTTTCAGAGTGCTGAGAATGACTTGCAGCACCACATCCAATTTTACCAAATTGGAACTCAAGAGATATGAAAAGCTCAGCAGAAATGAACTCTGATTGGTCACTGGTAAACTTTAAGAGCATGACAATAACCTGATACCACAAACTTTCTTATCAATCTCCTTCTTTAGATAGTAAAATGATTCTGCTCTAATATGCTTTATGATGAAGGCTGTTTTAGGGGAATCCTTCAGAGATGGTCAGTGGGTAAAACCCTTTGTATTTCATGAGTTTTGCTTTTCTTCTTCTTTTTTAAAAGGGCAGGTGCCTCTCACTCAATTGCTTGTTGGCTTGTGTTTCAGATCTATTTACCAAATCCTTCTTTTGTGCCTACTATGTGCGAGGAATTGTTCTAGACACTGGGAGCAAAACAAGCAAAATCCCAGTCCTCAAGAGCTTTCTGATATTTCACAGTAGAGCTAAAGGCTTTTGCCAAGGAAACAAATAATTATTTAGTCATGGTTCTTTGCATTTGCCGGTGCCATTTTCCAAAAAGTGTGTTGTAACTTTGGTCATGACGTCGGGTGGCACAGCGACGTGGATGATATTAAATACCTGAGTGATGCAGTGACAATCCTAACTCCTTTTCAGTTTTCTTTCCACTGGTTCAAAGAATGCACCAGGTTGGTGATAACACAATTTTAACATTCTCTAAACTTGCCAATTTTCCTTTTTTTAAACAAAGAGTGGGCCTCAAACACAAGCCTTTAGCAAGTCCCAGGGCCTCACAGAATTTAATAAGGATGTTTTTGTACAGCTAGCTAATATTGGCTCCCTGCTCTTGCCCTGTAGTTTGGGACCATTGGCACTGATGAAATGGTTCTCAGACCGTGGCACCTGGCCTAGCAGCGCCACTTGGGAACTTGTTGAATATACAAATTCATGGTTCTCTTTTCAGACGACTGAGTCACAGACTGGGGGGTGGGGCTCAGCACAGGCCTCGTGCCTCTCCAGGTGAGTCTGATGCTGTTCACAGGTGACAGCCGCTGCTCTGTCTGTTAGTTTCTCTGCTCAGCCAGTCAAGAACCTCCTTGGCTAGGCCTCCCTCGGCCCCAGCACCCACATCCGCCTACCATGTCCAGCTGTTTGTGAGTGTCCTCCACCGACACCTGGGAGGCCTCCTTCAGCTGCTTGCTTACAATCTGGAAGAGGTTCAGCGTTGCCATCTTAATGGTGCCCAGCAGGAGGGTCTTCTTAGCGGCAGTGTTCTGGATGTGCGCCCAGCGAGACTCCTGGGGAGGGAATGTGGGAGCATGTGAGTGCGGTGTGCGTGTGTATATTGTGTGTGCACACACCAGGGGTTGCGGCTCACACACCCGAGGCCCCGGAGCCTCGCACCCCAGCCCTCGTGCGCTGGGACCCTCACCCAGACAATGACGTCGCTGCGGGCGCGGTCGAAGCGCATCTGCAGCCTCGCCAGCTCGTTGTTGTGCTGTAGGATCTCATCGTCCTTCTCCTCCATGTACCGCGCCAGCCGTGCCTTGGCGCGCTCGATCTTCTCCTGGCCCTCCTGTGCCGACTGCATGAGGTCGTGGTGCATGCTCACCAGTGTCTTGTAGCGTCCAATCACCTCATGGATCTCCTCAAACTGAAGCGGGTAGAGGGTTTGGTCACTACTCTGTCAGACCCCTGGGGACCGAAGCCGTGGTCTTAGCTGGCTGACCCTTGACCTGGACATGTGGATGCCTGCTCATTTAGGCTCCTGGCCAGGAGCAAGGGCACAGACGGTGAGGAAATAGGGGTCCTGATACCGGCTTCTCCTGGGTTTGTATGGGCCATGGCCCGGATGTTGGGGATATGCACAATTGAACAGGGGCTGTCAGCCTTCACTGTGTCTTAGATTATCTGGGGAGTTTTAAAAGGTTACCAACAAGTTCTACCCCCAGAGATTCAGATTAATAACAGACTTGAGGTGGCCTCTGGCATCTGAAGTTTGCAAAAGATCCCCCACGTGATTCTAGCCCAGAGCTGAGAACTGTGGGTGCGAGGCATCTGGAGATGTTTCCCAGGGCAGTCATTCTCCTAGTCACAAGAATTTCCCAAGAGCAACTTACGAGCCAGGGGCTGTGCTACAGGGACGTAACAGGAGATAAGAAAGCCAGACCCTGTTCTTCTTAAGCTGACAGCTTGTGATGTAACGGGAGAACAGACAGAGAAGTAAACAGTGGGGTACCACACAGAGGATAAGCCTTATCTAGGCTTAGGGCAGGCGGCACAGAGTGGTCAGTGACCTTGAGCACGGTGCTCTCTGGCAGTTGTTCTACGTTTTCTGGGGGAGCAGCTGGGCTGGAGAGGGGCAGCGCAGCGTGGGAGGTGGCCTGCCACGCTCAGCTCACCTTTTCCATTTTGGTCCATGCCACTCTGGCTCTAACTGGCAGTCCCCACCCAAACAGAATAGAAGCCATGCGACCCACTCACTTTAGACAGGGTCCTGATCTCCAGTTCCCTGAGACCCATTCAGCTCCCCTGGGGCTTAGCACTGTGTGACTTCCAGCCACTCGGAGGCACTCCCCAAACAGACACTTCCAGTGAGAGGTTAGTGTCCTGGAAACTGCCCTGCTGGCCTCTCTCCAAATGCGCCTCTTGGGAAAGGATCACCCAAAGCAGGATGGGAAGAGGCAGGACTCACCAGGAAAGGTTTCCTGGGAGAAGAGATGGTGGAAATGAGACGAGGTCTGAGCAGGGGATTGCCAGGCAAAAGCAGGTGGGGAAGGTGAGGCAGGGCTATGGGGAGAGGGAGCGGCGTGGGTAAAGACACATGAGGCTTTGTGCAGCATGTTGGGGGTGCTCAAGGTCGTGTAGTTGATGGCCTGAGCTCCAGAGGAAGAGCAAGAGATGGACCTGGAGAACTTTAAAAAAAAATGTCACACGTGGCGGGGCAAGCCTATAACCCCAGCCACTTGGAGACTGAGGCCGTCTGGGCGACTTATCAAAACTGTCTCAAAATAAAAATAAAAAGAGCTGAAGTCGTGGGACAGTGCTCCCTGGGCTTAATCCCCACTATGGGGGTGGGGAATGGCTCCTTTGTAAACTATGGAAAGAGTGTGAACTTTGCTACTAAAGAATTTTAAGAGACTGAGAAATAACTTCATGTCCATATTTCCTAAAGTTTGCCAGGTGCGCAATGCAACCGCACACAGAGCTAAAGTGAGTGGACTATATCAGAGCTCCCAGGAGGAACCGCGAAATCTCGTTCTCATGTGGAAAGGACCCACGGGGTGAATTAAAGTAGGTCCAACTGTCCAAGAGGGGGCCATTTGAGCATTAATAAGAATAAGATTGAAAGATACTAAATATAATACAAAGCCCGCAAGAATGCTAAAAGTTACTGGTCATTTTTGGAGGAGGGATGGAAAACCAGTTCATTATTCCAAACACCATAAAGATGTAAGCATTAAAAAATAAAAAGAAGAAGCAAGCATTTAATCAGCTTTTTCTCTAAGTAAATGACCATGGAAAAATTCTCCTTTTTACCTGTTTTTAAACAGCAGTGGAGACATTCAGTATATCCTTATGCTCAGAATAATATCTCTGAATAATGTCTGTGACAAGAAACACTTACAGCATAAGGAAACCAGTTTGGACCTTGATTAGAATAAACCATTTGTACAAAAAGCATTATTACAATAACTACTTGGACATCTGATACTAAGGAATAGTTATCATTTTTTAACAGGTACCATCCAACAATGATATTGCTGTTATATTAAAAGGAGTTTTCATATTTCAGAGATAAAAACTGAAATATGTAGGGGTGAAAAAATATCATTTGTTTCGAAAAGGCGGCAGCAGGAAGATGTGGGGGATAGGACTAAGATTATCGCTGAACTTGTTGATGAGTCATGGGTATTCAATAGACTATTTTCTGTATTTCTATTAATGAGTTATCCAAAATGTAAAGTTTCTTTAAAATATTGATTGATACAGGACAGTTGCATAGGAAGAGTAATTTCTCAGGTTCTTAGCACAGTAGAATAACAATAATTGACAACAATTAATAATCATGTCATGAGCAATACAAATCACATATATACAGTGAAGTGTCACACTGGACTCTGTAAATATATAAATTATTATGTGAAAATTAAATATAAAAATATACTTAAAATTATTGAAAAAAGCGGGTAACAGAAGGATATGCCTAATATGTTTATGGGAAGGGGATATGTTGCAAAGTAGTACAGACAAGCATGAAATTTAGAAACTTAAAAATTAGGATACTGGCTACTCCCAAGAGAGGGGAGGAATAATGTGATGTGGAAGGACACACAGAGCTTTCAGTTACCAGCTGTGGTTCTTTTTTTTTTAGTATCAGGAGTCAAACTCAGGACCTCGCTCTTGCTAGGCAGGCGCTGTGGTGCTGAGCTCTATCCCCAGCCTACCAGCAATGTTTCATTTAAGAAAAAAATTGGGAAAATATTAGGATTTGACAAAGCTGTGTGGTGAGCTCTTGGGTTATGTGTTTCTCTAGACTTTCTAGTATGCTTAAAGCATTTTGAACAAAATAAAATGAGAGAGACAGGCAGGCAGACAGACGCAGACACAGAGAGAGATACCAGGAGGGCTGTAGGACATGAGCAGTCTGACTGGGGATGACACGGAGTTGAACTGCAGATGAAGTTCACTGAATAAGGAAGGGGCAGGGGCTGGATTCCAGAAATACTTCGGAGGCGGAATTGCCCAGCTCTGCTGATGGATGGCTGTGGAGCTGAGCTGGGGGAGGAGTGGACGATGAGGTCCGGGTTTAGGCAGGGCTTCGGGGGGTGGGTGGTCACTTACCAGCATGGGACACACGGGCAGCAGACCTGGCCTGGGGGTAGCAAGAAGCAGTGGGGTTGCGGACAAGACAAGTTAGGCTCAGGGGCTGGTGCTTAGAAGAGACACCTCAGCCAGTGTTCTCTGTTCTAAGATAACCATGTTACCAGCTCCGATCTCAAGACATGTCTCACACTGTATCTGCTGCTTTCATGCAGCCGTCTTTTCTCCTCCCTTCCCCGAAAAACCGCCTCTAATCCTCAAGTGAACGATTTATCTCACAGTACATAGGACCTTAGAGGGGAGGAAATGACACAGATTTGGGATTCGTGTATAAATAAATTAGGTTAGTGTTTCTACGTAGAAGCTGCAGGGGCTTAAAAAAGCTGTGTGCCCTCTGTCTGCCTGTGCCCCCACAGGACACTGACCCAGGCCCCTGTTGCTGGCCTCATGGGAGAGGAGGGGACAGTCACTGAGGTGGTCGCATCACAGTCAAGGGAAAACGTAGACTTCATGGAGGAGCAGTGAGAGCGTGCGGGAGGCTTGGCTGGGAAGAGGGCCGCAAAGTTCCCCAAGCTCTGCCAGCAGGAAAGCGGGTGTCTGGGGGACTGGGGGACCGACAGAAGGGAGGTGAAAGTCACAGGCCCTTCCACTTCCGAGCCGAGAGGTCTTATGTGGGCTACCTAACCTCCTGAGCCTCAGAGCCCCAGTGTAAAGGGAGCAGGGGGTACTTTCCCCACTGGGCTAATGAGAGGATGGACTGCAGACCTCGCGGCATTTGCAAAGCACAGCCTGGTGTATGCATGGTGCATCTTAAGCACTCCAGCTCTGTGGTAGGTTGGGTACTTTTCCTCTCTGCAGTTTACTCTCAAATAAACAAAAGACACCAGGAAGGAGGGGGAGGTAAGGATGGGTGTGGGCCTCATGCTGATGTAGGCAAAGCTTAACACTGGTGCTCCAGAACCACATCCCCCAACACACACACACACACGCCTTCAGACAGACACAGCCACGGACACATGTGGAGACATGAACACACAACTCACATGGAGACATTTACCTGGTCGTCATAAACACGGACACACAATGATATACCACCTGTCCCCCGACAAAGCCGGGGCCTTTATCAGCTGTGCCTGTGTGTGACCACCACGGGGGCCCCAGAAGGACCCCAAGCACCAGCCCATGGTCCAGGCCACCGGGAGAATGATGGGGAAGGTGTGGAGGTGGGACCCACCTCGGAGTTCTCCACCACTTTCTCCAGGTACTTGTTGAAGATGGAGTAGTCCTGCAGCTTGCTGTTCAGCCGCTGGTGCTCCAGCCGGAGGGCCGCCATGTCCTGCTTGGCCTTGGCCAGCTCCCGCAGGTGACTCCGCTTGAGCTCCCGCTCCTTATTGGCTTTCTTCAGGGCACGGATCCGCTTCTGGTCGTTCTCCTGGGATGAGAGAGGCAGCATGGGTCAAGCAGCCTTGCCGTGCCCTCCCTGGGGCTTCTGCCTGCTGGGGGCTGGTGATGCCCTTAGCCCTTGCCTTTCTGCTGAGCCCAGACCTTGCCGGGTCACCCATGTCGGAAAGAGGTATGGAGGGAAAAGGGTGATGTGAAGCTAGGTTTTGGTTATCTGAAGCTAGTTCTTGAAGCCAAGGGATTTCTGTGAACTGAGATACAGCTCAGGAGGCTGTGGAAACAGAGGTTTAGTTCAAAGTCAAGACACAGTTTTCTGAGGGGCAGACAGGAAATGACTCAGATTCTGTGGGATTGGGGCTCTAGACTTCAGAGAGCAGACAAAGGAGAACCTAGGAGTGAAAGGATGGAGGAAACCCATATTGCAGTGGGCTCAGGGCCTGGAAAGAACTCCAGCCTGGGAAGGCTGAGAAAGTCCAGAAGTGGGAGCTGGAGCCCTTCTGACAGAGCCTGCCTTGTTTCTGCTCTGAGGAGCGGCCATCTGTCATGGGGCAGATGGCTGCGCCAGGGTTGGGAAGCCCGGATTTTCTCCTGATTTGAGACTCAGTGCCTCAACTTCTCCAAACATAGGAATGTGAAACAGCAGCCCCTTTCTTCCTTGAAAACTGCAGGCAACGGTGATTAACTACACAAAGATAAGACTTGTTCCCAGGAGCTCAGATTAGCACCAGCGGGGGCTGGAGGAGATGGTTCAGAAAGGAAGTCTTTTTTTGCGGGGGGAGGCATGTCCAGAAAGGAAGAATGAGGCTCCGCTCCTGCAGTCAAAGTCCACTTCTTCCTTCTGCAAAGCCCACTCCTGCACTGCTCTGCTGTGCCCCCTTTCCCCTCTGAAGGGCTCTGGTGACTCTACATGCACGGGCAGGTGTGATGGCAGCATCTGGAGAACACAGAGGTATGCACATGGAGGACTTGTGCTCTGCCACGTAAGCACAGGAGGAGACAGGAGCCCTCAACTATTGGTTTGCAAATCCACCTGTGAATTAAAATCATCTGGGGAGCTTTAACAATACTGTAGGTGCCTGGCCCCAACCCCAGGCCTACTGAAAGCAAAGAGAGGAGAGTTACTGCAGTCTTGTATTTGTAACAAGCTCTACAGGGTGCCAAAGCTTCTGACCCTCAGAAAATCATGTGGAACACGCTCCACCACAAATCTCCTGCTACCCCAACCACTCCACCAGCTTTTCTCTGGCTACTAAAATGGACTGGATCTCAGGAGAATGTGCCCAGATTGCCAACTTCCTGACCTGCATGGTTAGGACAGAGTGTGACAAGGAGGCTTAAGAGCAGGTCCTTTGAAGGGCAGGGCAGCAATTAGTCCTCATGCAGCCAGGCTGGGACAGAAGCAGATCCAGATATATCTGGATTTTAAGATGATTAAATCCCAAGAGGCTGAGGCAGGAGGATTGCAAGTTTAAGCCCAGCCTAGGCAAATTAGGAAGCTCTGTCTCAAAATAAAAATTTAAAGAGGGCTAGTAAGGAAAGGCCCTGGGTTCAGTCCACAGTAACACACGCATACACACATATACACACACGCACAATTGTTTCTCTGCAGCATGATCCTTCATCAGTCCCCACCTTCGGCTCAAGGAGAAAAAAGTAGTGTATAGGAGACTAAAACCTCCGTTTACTTCACTGTACCCCCAAGTGCTTATCCATGACATGTACCTCCATCTACCTATCCATCCACTCGTCTATCCACCTGTTCATCCACCCATCCATCCATCCATCCATCCACCTGTCCGTCTGTCCACCCATCCACCCATCCATCCATCCATCCATCCATCCATCCATTGACTGGATTACCTGTATGGCAAGGAAACAGGACACAGCCAGGGGAGGGGTGGAGATGAGGGTAAACAGGAAATTGCAATCATCGCGATGTGGGGAGATAAAAGGATGCCTATGGAAGCACCAGCATAACTGGAGCACTGAGAATAATACTTTTAACCCAGTGAGAAGCCTGCAAGACTGAGGAGGAAGAGGAGGGACAATTTGCCAGTCTGCACAGTAGGACTCCCCTGGCAGGCTGCAGCCCGTACCCTTCGTACCTGGATGAACTGCTCAAATTTCTGGATGTGGGCCTTCAGCTGCTCTTCCTTGATGCCCAGCTCCTCCCAGCGCAGCTTCAGGGTTTCCATTCTGCGCTTGAATGTCTTGACGGGTGCAGGAGCAGAGAGGTCAGGACAACTCCTGACAGGAGTACCCAGAAGACCGCAGCACCCCCATCCCAAAGTCTCTATTCCCAGAGGTAGGGAGGCCTCCCACTCTCTACCCTGTGCCTGGCTCAGATTGAGCATCCCAGGACACTGAGATCCCAAGACTTAGATCTTTTCTGTTCTCCCCAGTGGAAAGAAGTCAGAACCACTGGCCAGAACCCCAGCTCTAACCAGCACCCCCAGCAAGATGGGGGATGTCTCTCTGCGTCCCAGTCAGCTCCCCTCCTATTCTGCACAGCGCTCCCACTCCTGCGCTCCTTCATCTCACCTCCTTCTTTTCTTCCATAGCCTCATGCATGACGATGGCCTCCTTCTTCTTCTCCAGGAGCCGGATGGATGGGGATTCTGATTGCTCATCAAAAGTGGGGAATTTCCTGCCCAAGACATGGGCAAGAGAAACCAGTGGGTTATGAGGCTGAGGCAGGAAGTGACCGGGTGGGGAAGGAAAGGGCTCTTCTCCCCAACCTGAGCGAAAGGAGGATGTGTTGAGAAAGCGGGTCCCGTGCCTGTGTTAGGGGAGCGAGTGAGGGCTGGGTGATGGGGGGCTGGCGTCGGAGATTGGGGCTGGGAGACTGGGGGTGCCGGGACAGGAACTGAGGGGCTAGGTGGTCGGTGGCGCATGGGCTGGGCGAAGGGGTGGGCAGACCAGGCCCCAGACACTCACTGTAGCAGCTGCAGCAGCCGCTCCCCATATTGCAGCCGGAAGTACTCCACCAGGTCTTCCTCTTCCATGATGCCCAGACTCATAGTGGCGGTGACTTAACCGCCCAGGCGGCGAGTCTCCACAGTGAGGGAGCCACCGGAAGTGGGGTGGGTCGGGGTGGTGGGGATCGGGGTGGTGCCTGGGCTCTGGCTCTCCTCTGCTTGTGCTTTCAGAGTCGCACAGAGGGGAGGTGTTTGAGAGACACGGCAGAAGCCAACTAGAGGCCCAGGGTGGGCAGCTCAGGACCAGGCGTGGGGTGGTGATGGGAGATGTGGTTACCTAGCAACAGGTTGCTTAGTTCTGCGGGCAACTCCTGGAACCCGGGCTTTGCCCTCTGACCTCCGCTCCCAATCACCCCGCGTTCCTGAGGCCCAGCTCGCGCCGTTCCTCCAGCAGGAGGCGGTCATGGGGCGCTGGGAGGAGGCCCGTGCGCGGCTCCCGCGGGGCTGCTCCAAGTTTTGAGATGGAAGGAAGTGGGGGGAGGAGGAGAAAGGACAGAAAATAGGGAAAAGGAAAAAAGAAAGAACGAGCGAAGGGAAGAGAGAAGAAATGGAAAAAGAAAAAATGCCGAAACACAGACCCGTGAATTAACGACGATTAAACAGTTCATTAACGAAGACTGGTGACCGCATTCCTCCATCCCATCCGCGCACGGAAACTCATTCAGCCCGCGGGTAAATGCGAGGCCGTGGCTGCGGCGGTTGCCTGCGGCTTGGCTCGAGCTGGACCCGGCGGTGACCTCACCTGGCCGCCGACCGGCGCTCGCCGCTCCGCCTCGCTTCTGAGTCTGGGGTGCAGGGGGTCTCGCGCTGGGGCGGGTCCCGCGCTCAGCAGCCCACCCCGCCTCATTGCCGGTCCTCTGGCGCCCCCTTCTGGCCCTTCTCACCCGCGCTCAATCCCGGCCCGGAAGGAGGAGGGACCGGTGACGGCCCCGCTGGCCCCCCACCCCCGCCCGGGTCTTGCCACCGCCCCCCCGGCCCCGCCTACTGTGCAGAACCTCCGCTCCAGAACCGGCTGTAACACACGCCCCGTCGCTTCTGTCCAGGCTGCGGGGCTCAGCAGAGTCCAAGGGCAAAGCCCACCCGCCCCCATTCTCACCCTAACCCCCTGAACCTGAGATGCCGCTTCTGCACCCGGGTGTCGCAGAGGCAACAGGAACAGCACCAGTGCTTCCAGCCTCCGCAAAGGGGCGTGTTTCTCTCCTTGTTTATCCCGAGAACCTGGCACAGTCAGGGGCTTCCTGCCCTTGCCCCTGAGGTGGCAGCTCAGTTTTGGGCGGGACGAGCGATGCCAGCGCTTGCGGGACAGCCTGCTTCTGGAATCCCGTCTGCTCGGTGTACAGTAAGCCGCTTCCTCGCCGGGTGTTGAACGGCGGCGGCGGCTGGAGTGGGGCAGGGGCGGGTGGGTCCGTACTCGGTGGCCCGTCCAGGCGGACGACAGCCTCTTCTGCGCCTGTGTCCCCTCAGGCCTGCAAGCTCTTTCTGCTGCCTCATTGGATGCCTTGTCTGAGTTATGAGGCTCTCCCATCACCCTGCTGTGGGGTCCCCCCGCGTGGAGCGAGGCGCAGGCTGGTTCGTGAGAGCCCTCCCTTCTCCTCTCCCTTCATCGCCTCCCTGGGAAGCCCTGCTCCCCATCCCCCACCCCGGGGATTGAACCCGGGGCCTTCACACTGAGCTACATCTCCCAGATCCTTTTGTTTATTTTACTTTATTTTTGAGACAGGGTCTTGCCAAGTCCCTGATTTGCCCAGAGTGCCCCCGCACTTGTGATCCTTCTGTCTCTGGGGTAAAATCTACTAGATTTAGGTTAATCATCTAATGGATTTAGGTTGCTGAAAACCAATAGATACATTTTGATTTCTGTCCTGTTTCCTCCTCCCTCTAAAACAGTCAGCTGCTTAAAAGGAGAGGGGAGGGGAAAGCTATCAGGAGAGAAAAGATACAGGGTTAGGCAAGCATAGGCCTGAGTTTGATCCCTAGTATCACAGCATCAAGTATTACTATTCTGACACACAGGCCAGCCTTGCTGAGTGCACAATCTCCCTGCTCTCCTGGGAGATTCCCCTCCAGGCATTGATCAGGAGTCTTTTGCTCTATCTTGCGGCTCCACCTGGGGCCTCCAAGGTCACTGTGGTGGTGGTGTGGGGGAGCCCCATCTCCTACCCCTGCTCTGAAACACATCACTACCTCCACTTACTGAGCTCCGGTGGGAACAGGGCACATGGCTACTTACACTGCAAGGGACTAGAAATGAAGTTTCCAGGAAGAGGAAATTATTGTGATGAACATCGAACCAGTTGTGTTCTTGTTGAGAATTAAAATGGTGTTTGGAAATAAGCTAAGAACAGAACGTAATAAAGAACCTAATGGCAGACAAAGGAGGAGAAAAGGAAATACCACAACCATAATTTTTGTTTTTTGAGAGAGGGTCTGGCTTTGTACTTCAGGCTGGCCTTGAACTCACTATGGAGCCCAGGCTGGCCTTGAGCTCATGGCAATCCTCCTGCCTCAGCCTCCCGAGTGCTGGGATTACAGGCATGCACCACCATGCCCGGTGCCATAATTTTACATATAAAAATCTTAAGGGAAACATTATTCAATTTAATTTGGTCCATATAATCTCCTGGCTCTCCTGGAAAATTCTCTCTTTTTCAGTGACCAGGGATGTAGGTCCTTTCCATCTTCCACTGCCATCATATCAGCATGCCCTCTCAGTTAAACAAATGATTTCAAAAGAATAATTCACCTAGACCATAAATTACAAAATGATTTAATATTTGAAAATCTATTAATAAAGTTAGTTCTATCAATATGTCTCAAGAGAAAAGGGTTGCAATCACTGTGATTGAGGTCCACCTGGCACAGAAATCTTCAACATTCATCTTCTAAAAAAATACTACTAGCATAAAATGCCAGTGTGTTAACCTGATCCAAAACTTGAAAACCCAATAGAAAACATGAACATTTCTGTTAAAGATAATCTTGTTATAGACACGACAGGCTTTCTGCTGTCACTCCAATCATTTAACATTGTTTTGGATGTTCTAGCTATTACACAAAAAGGGAAGAAAATTAAGATTTTCTTTTTCTTTCTTTTTTTTTTACACTGTGGCAGATGCTGTGATCATGCACTGTGAAAATCTAGGAGAATGATTAATTAATTAAAATACTTTGAATTTTATGTGATACTATGTAATTTATTAGAAGAATGAAGTTGATTTATATGCATGGACATGGAGAAGTTTTAATGATAAATTATGTGACCAAAGCCAGATGCAGAGCAGTATGTGTAATGTGATTGTGTGGGGGGTGGAGGTGTGTGGGGGGTGGAGGTGCATGGAGAAAGAGCTGTAGAAGGATATTTACGAGACCTCCACAGACAGGAAGGCATGGAGGTGTAGGAGGTTGTTTTCAACAGATTTTTCTTTTTTTTTTTTTTTTAAACCTTTACATTGTTGTTAGTTCATATTGTCCTGTATTTTTTATTTCTTTTCAGTGACTGTGTATATTAGTTATGTAATTTTGAAAAAAAAAACTATAAAAGAAAAATATATACGTTTGTATTGGAAGCTACAAAAGAATGTTCTTAGAAGTCTAGCAAGAGCTATACAGGATTCTACAAAGAAAACACAGGGCTGGAGGGTGTAGCTCAATGCTTAGCCAGTACAAGGCCCTGGATTTGATTCTCAGCACTAAACAGATAAGCAAAAAACAAAATTTTTAATGAGAAATGGAAAAGAAGACTTCTCTAGACTTAGAGCATTTCTGAGTGACAACTCAATATTGTAAAGATGTAAATATCACCCAAATGAATTAAGGAAATCAGCTGATTGCAATCAAAATCCCAGAGAGATTACTTCTCCCCCCAGAAGCTGACAAAATAATGTAAATGTTCACCTAGAGAATCAAAGAAAGAAAATATTACAAAAGAAGGAGAAGAAGGGGATGAAGAGGAAGAGGAAGAGGAGGGGAGGAAGAGGAGGAGGGGAGGAAGAGGAAGAGAGGAGGAAATGGCTACTGCTAGGTCCTAGAACGCTTTCTAACTATGAAAGTGTAAAAGCACTGTGTTGGCTGGTGTACTACAGGCAGAAAACACTGAAGTGCCCTAAATGTTTGGATGAGCCACTTGACTTGTCTGTCATTTGCCTAAATTCACAATGTTAAGAAACACCTCTGGCCAGAGACAGTATCTGAAGCCTGAGAATAATTATTGGCTCTAAAATAGAAGAAACCTAAGCACAGAATACAGACTAGCTATTCAATGAGATGCATACAAATGTAACATGCCAGCTTCATGAAGTGTTAATGTTAGCATTCATACAGCATTTCACACATTTGAGAGTAATCTGTGGATTTGATTTCTTCACTTTTCAAGAATTCCCCATTATGCAGATTTTTGGAAAAAAAAGGAGAGTGAATTGTGAATTAAATGAGTTACTCAGACATGTAATTTCAAAAGCAACACTATAAGAATCCCTTTGCTTCTTTTTACTCCGTATTATTCTTAATGTCAACAGGAGCACATTTTAATCGGTTTGCTAATGGAAGCATTTAGGGCTTAGTCATGTTCCCTTCAGGATTCCGTTGTCTAAAGGCAGCCCAGGTTGTTTTCACTCATAGAATTGCGCGAAGCCGGGGACTTCCTCAAAGCCAGCCACCTTTTTATTATTATTTAAGTTTTTAAATTTAAAATTTTTCTTCTTTAACTTGGTAGACGCCACCCTACCCAAATGATTACCAGGAATAGGACGTGAGCGTTATGCCCCTGGCCATCCTTGCACGGATGATTCTATTGCATTATGGCCACTTGCTGAGGCTGAGGGGGAAAAGCCCCACTCAGAGATAGCTTCAAGGGCCACCTAGAAGGAAAAGATGAGGAGGAACCCTGCTTGTATTCATCTTACTGACTGGTCCTGATTGTGGAGATGAACCCGAGTCACAGCCTGCTCTGCAGCTTGTCCCTGAAATGTTAAGTGGCTCCCTGTGCTGTTCTGATTTCCCAGTGCTGGTATTTCTGAGAAGACAACTCCCAGTGGTCCAAACTAACAGCTCTGCTAGGCAGCAGCTGAAATAATCGCTTTCCCCCTGACCCTAGATGTTCCAGGAGTGTGACCTTCTTCTTACATCAGGAAGATGACCGACACTCTCTGTCCATCTATAAAAGCTAAGGTTGGTGTCCTGGTCACTGAGGAGAGACCTAAGGGAGTAAGAGGATGCTTCTCATGCTCTGACCCCATTGTTCCATTCACCATATTCTTCTTGCCTGGCCCTTCAGCAAGGACAGTTTACTTTAGTTTTAGTACCCCAATAGTCATACTTCTCATTTTTTTTGGCAATTAGTCTTTTATTTTTGCTCCAGTTTTATAATTTTATCAGATGACAGATGAATAATATTCTGACTCCAAACTTTGCCTGACAACAAATATATGAAGTTAGATTATATCTGAGGAAAAGAAAGTGAAACAAAAATAATGTGAAAGAAAAACTGTTACTGTAGATTTATATCCATGCATAAAATGGTTTTTTTCAGAGTCTTGCCTACAGATATGTCTTCAATGGTTCCACCTATTTTTTCTTCCAGCAGACTTAATGTTTCTGTTTTAATATTTAAATCTTTGATCTATTTTGATTTTAGTTTAGTGCATGGTGAGAGACATAGGTCTAGCTTTATGGAAAAAAAAAAAAAAGCAACCCTGATCACACAGGAAATATTACAAAGAATAAACAACTGGGATCTTATCCCATTAGAAAGCTTTTGCACAGCAAAAGAAATCACCAGCAGAGTAAAGACGCAACCCACAGAGTGGGAAAAAATTTGTTCCAGCATTCCTCAGACAAAGGCCTAATATCTAGAATATATAAAGAACTAAAAAAAAATCACATCCCCTAAAATTTAAAGACCAAATCCAAAAACGGTCGCCTGAAATTAATAGACACCTCTCAGATAAAGAAGTAGAAATGGCAAATAAATACATGAAAAATGTTCAACCTTCCTTACTGGAGATCCCTGCAGGGACCCTCCAATCTCCCGGGCGGTGTTACGGTGCATGGTGAGAGAGAAAGAGTAAGAGACAAGCAGTGGGGGTCTGGGATGGCCAGTTGTTCATGGGAAACAAAAGGCCACTCTCATCTGTAAACATCAAATCAGAATTAAATGACATTATTTTGCATTGGTGGGTATTGAACTCA